TTGACACAATGTTGGCATTTATGCTCCATGTCCTATATTTTCTGTGGTATATTGTGAAACATTTCCCATATAAAATGGATATGGCTGGGCTTGATAACCAGTTACAGTGGTGCATATTGTATAGAAAGAGGTCACATAAGCTCCAACTCTGTATCCATTTACCTGAGAGTAAGCCCATTGAACTGGTTTGTGATACAGTGTGTAAAACACAAAATACATAAGAAGAATTGTACATACTTAAAAAGCAACAACTATAGTGCAGGGTGGCACAAGGGTTTGGGCTTGTCCTCTTGTTGCATTGCAGAAAAAGAGACCTCACCTGCTTATAGATTCTGCCTTGAAGTATAAACAACAGACCATTTTATGGATAGATGAGATGTGTTGTCAACAAAAGGAGGTAATGAAAAATCCCATTCTTAAAAATACACAGAATAGCCTGTCTGGCATATGGGCTGTATACAGGATGCATTCACCTGACCATGATAAATGTGTCTTTATCTCATTTATCTCACTTGTTTTAAAAATAAATGTGCCTTTATTCCACTGGGGATAAGGTGTGTTAAAAGAGAGTGCACTAATCTCAAGTGTTTTAACATTGATTGGAATGGGGACTGCAGACAGGAAATCAGAAGAAGATTGAGAATGGGGAGAGCATCAATGAAAGAACTAGAAAAAAATCCTAAAATGTAAAAGTATACAACTGAGCATAAAAGTTAGAATTATACAAGTCATTGTATTCCCTATTGGACAGTTAAGAAAGAAAATAAGAAGAAATCAATTTATTTGAGATGTGATGCTGGAGAAGAGTGTTGAGGATCCCATGGACAGCCAAAAAGACAGGCAAATGGGTCCTGGAGCAGATCAAGCCAGAAATCTCCATGGGAGCCCAGATGACAAAACTTGTACTTCAGACACATCATGAGAAGGCAAAAACAACAATGCTAGGAAAAGTGGAGGGAAGTAGAAAGAGAGGATGGCCGCATGCTAGATGGATAGACTGTATTAAGGAAGTGATGGGCATGACTTTGCCAGAACTAAGCAGAGCAGTAGAGGACAGGGAGTCTTGGAGATATCCAATCGATATGGGATGAGATTGACTCGAAGGTGGTTAACAAAAACAAAAATGCAATGGGCTGTCCTTATCCGCAGACTTGACATCCATGGATGGCAAGCTCATGGGGGGCAGAGGAGAAGGAGAAAGAGGAGGGGGAAGGCATGGCATGAGAGGAGGAGGAGGAGGAAGCTGCGGTCAATGTGGCATGAGGAGCAAGAGAAGGAGGAAGGTGAGGAGAGGAGAGGCATGAGGAGGAGGAGGGGGCATGGCAGAAGGTAGGAAGGTGAGGCAGGAAGAGGAGGGTATGGCAGCAGGAAGGTGAGGAGGAGAAAGGTGAGGTGAAGTACAAGGAAGAAGAGGAGGAGGAAGAAGAGGAGGAACTGGTAGTGGGGAAGAGGTGGAGGAGAAAGAAGAGAAAGAGGCGGCGAGGGGAGAGGAGGAGGAGGAGGAGGAGGAAGCTCCTCCAAAGTGCCATTGTCTTCAATGGTGGCTGCGCCACCACTGAAGTCAGTGAGACTTGAGCATCCATTGATTTTGGCATCTGCAGGGGGATACCAAAGGCCCACTCTATAGACTTTTAATATATTTTCATATTCTTAATGTTTAGTGTTTTAACTTCATAAATTGTTTAATTGTTTTTTTAATCGTTTATACTTTTATTAATGTTTTTGAATTATTTTGAATTTGTATTGTCTTAAATATGGTGTTAGCCACCTTGAATCCCATTATTGAGGGCAAAGGTGGGATATAAATTACTAGAATAATCACCATAATCTTGGGAATTTAAAGTACTTGAAGATTCATAATTAAAAACCCAAATGTTGCCAATTTGAACACCCATAGGGTTGTGTGGTTTTTTGGAATGACGTTTTTTGGATGAAAGCTGAATATTAGATAAGACTTTGTGTTTTCATTGCTAAGTATCATCCTCTGCTTTCAGTGTTCATGCATAACTCTCATTGATTATGCAGTAAAAAATGTACCACCTGTACCCAAGAGCACCCAAAAAAGCTTAGAGATACCTGAAATCTTGGAGAAAACATAGAATCATGGGGGTGGAACTCCCAAAAATATTTATTGAGGATTGAGTATGCTCTTAAGGTGAGATGTGCATGCTGGATTCTGTGTGCCTTCAAGTTATTTCTGACTTATGGCAACCCTAAAGTGATCCTATTGTAGGATTTTCCTGGCAGGATTTGTCCAGAAGAGATTTGTCATTGCCTTCACCTGAGGCTGAGAGCATGTGATTCACCCAAGGTCACCCAGTGGGTTCCATGTCCACCGATAGACTATTGTGGGGAATGCAATGGAATGGTGTGTCCTACGAGGGCATGGCTAATAAACTGAACACTAAACAGGAGCACCTTAGGTTGTAACATTTAGTTATCCGTCTCATTTGTTTATGAATTCATATGGCATGGGATGACATGGGTAGGTTTGAAGGTTCTCTACAGCATTCCTCCGCTCCTACTGAGCTGGATGTGACTCCTTAAACCACCTTTTTTTTTTTGTCTAAAACAAGCCTTGCTGCCATCACCCAATGAATAACCTATTACACCTTAGCAATGCATTGAGACATTACCAGGGATTCCCCTGGTGTTTGAAAGCCCAGTCAGGAGCTAGTCAAACTAAGGAATGTGAAGAGGACCGCAAAGAGGCAGAATATTTTAAAGAAAAGCTTTCTTCTAACTAAAGGCATTCTAGACCAAAAAGATATCACTACATGCAGGACCAACTTGCCCTATATGCACACACAGGAAGTGTAATTTACAAAGTACAATCATTTCAGCCAACCCAGTAAAACAAATAAAAAATCATGATGTCATTGACTGGTACATGTTCCTAATCTTACTGACACCTCAGGTGGAATTTGTAGTCCTTTATGTTTCTGGATAGCTGGGAGCCTAGGCTCTATTGTCCAGATCCACCAGCTTCCTCATGATCTGTCTCACAAGAATCACTCCACCAGCCAACAGGCAGGCAGGAAGGCTAGCAGACAAATCCCAGATAGACAAGTGCCTCATGTTGCATCCAGGCTTTTTAAAACTTCTTTCTCAGAACCATCTTGAAGGTTTCTGCTTCTCTCCAACTGCCCATCTCATTGGACAGTTGCCATCTCATCAGTTGTGATGTAAACCCTCATTAAAATGTACTTCTTCCAACATTTAACCATTTGTTATGTGGGAAGAAGGATCTGATAAATGGAGGGACTCCCATTTTTCACAGTAGGTACATAGCAGTGGAGTAATAAGGAGTAGAGGGTGCAGGGATAGAATGTGCAGAAACTGCCCCTGCCATATATTTGTTAGTGTGACACACAGATTTTCCCAAAAAGATGAATGAAAACACAGAGCTAAGATCCTCCCATAGGGCTATAACATAGTAAAATGCACATGTGTAAAAGAACAAAGAAAAAAAGAAAGACTTTGGCCCTAAGCAGACGGTCAGCCATGGGCCACCCCGAGAAGCTGCGGATTGGGGCTGAGGTAGCCGCACTCCTCAGCCCTGATCCACTTCTTTTTGGGCCCTGGAAGGACCCAAAAGGTGCCAAAGGTGTGCTGCAAGAGGCATTGGGTGCACCTTTGGCGTCTCTTCCGTTGCAGCATGTCCGGACGCTGCAGCGGAAGGACGTCATCAGAGTGCCTGTCATGTGGAGCGGTGGGCACTCCGATAACATGTTCGGGAAGGGGTTGGGGCACCCAGCGTGAGGCTGCTCCTCCCCTTCCTTACCTCCAAGATGGCGCAAAGAGCCGTTTGCTTCCCCCTCAGACCAGAAGCGTTCTTTCTGACAAGGTAAAGTTGTCCCTCCCCATTTGTGGACTTGAGGTCTGCAGTCTTGCTCTTCATGGGGAGGGACAACAGCTATACATGCTGTTGTCCATGTCCAATGGCCATGCATGCTTGTGCACAGCCCCGCATGCACACCACGGACATGCCCACCATTAGTTTAAATGGGGCTTGCATGTTAGCAAAGCACCATTTTAATAGGGGGAGGGTTTAGAATGGATCCCCCACAAATTGGAAGGGGCAGCTGTAGTTTTCTTTTTTCAAAGAGCTTCTATTATGGGGTGCTTTCCAAAAAGCGATTTCACAGCTTGCATTCTGGAGGAGCCTCATTTATCCCTCCTTTCATATTTGTTGAGAGAATTTCCATACTGGATCTTGGTGTTGCATTTCCCCTTCACTTTTTCAATGAATAAAATATTGGCTTGAACTCACTAAAGTTTTGGTGCCTTGCCATTACTTTCGAGTCTTCATTGGCTTTTTAGCAAATGACCCATATAATCAGTACTTAAAATAGCTTAATCCAAGGCTGGCCCAGATATCTATTTGATGCTAAGCATGTGCATCCCTAAGCTTTTGACTGTGGTCACTGGGCTGAAATAAAGAAGACTAACGTCATCATTTTGATTATTATACTTCCCTTGTCTTCCAAAACAAATGTGGCATTTCAATTTTATGTATATTTTAGCTCTTCTGAAATCATCTGCAAAGTGGCAGGATCCTCATTAGGAATGAACAGAAGGGCTCAACTCCAGTTTGTGTCACTTTTGCATCTATTTATTTTTAAGTACATTCCATCTTCTCCCCACATTAATTTACATCCCTATCCCCAAAGAATTGCATATGAAATTATAATCCATAAAAAATAAAGTAATTTTCATTTACAGTTACAAGGGCTGCCTTTGAAAATGTATATTCGCTCCCCCATTTTCCCCTTGCCCTAAGCAGTGTGGCTATGGCTGCTGCACACAAATAAAATATGTCCACAGGTACTACATATGTTTGTTGTTGCTGTGCACCTTCAAGTCATTTCTGATTTATGGTTACCATAAAATGAACCTATCATGGAGCTTTCTTGGCAAAATTTGTTCAAAGGAGTTTCCCCATTGCCTTTCTGAGGCTGAGGGAGCATGACTTGCCCAAGGTCACCCTGTGGGTTTCATGGCCAAGCTGGAAATTGAACCCAGATCTCCAGATTTGTGGTCCAACACTCAAACCACTATGCAAGACCAAGCCGTGGAGGACGCGGCACCAGCACCCCGGGAGGCTCCACCCGCCAGAGGGAA